AGAGCCAGAGCCCGGGGTCAGTCAATCAGGTGCGGGCGGCTGGAGTATGGCTTTGTGAGGCCTCGGAGGGGACCCGGCGGTGGCGGCCACGGCGAGACGGGCCGCCCACCAGTTGAACTCCGACAGCTGAGGCGGCTGAGGAGGTATCCGCGGCCCCACCACCGAGGGGAGGGGGACACCACTGAGTGCGGGGGTTACAGGGAGAGCCCGGGCTTTCCTGGCTCTGGCTTTCACCCTCGGCCTCCCGGCTGCTGAGGGGTCTCCTGAGGTGATTCCCGAGACCCGCGTACGCCTGCAGAGACGAAGGTGTGGACTGCCGTGGACGAGAACGAGGTTCCGCCTGCCAGAAGCGCAGCGATGATGAGGCAGGAGGGCTAGTGCTGTCGGGTCTTCCCCGGGTGATGAGCGGGTCCTGGGAAGTCAGGCGTTGAGGCTGTTACCTGCCAGCTGCTGGTTGTGGGATCCTGAGACAGGTTCTGCCCTATGTACCATTTTAAAAGGCTCTTTTTCAGGTTTTCGGCCAACTCCTCTAAAGTACCTATTTTAGAGGATGTCATTTTGTGTTCGATATTCTTATATATTAATAAGAACCAAAGGGCAACAATGGGATTTAAAATGAGTGACAAATTGTAAACATTATTTTTCAAAACTCATTTTCTTCAAAAACCATACACAGGCTACTATGCAACCGTTAGTAAAATACAGTTTGCCTAATGAGGTTTCACTTTAAAAGGCAAATATTCCTAGAGTGTAGATGCAAACTCTCTACCACCACCGTTTTAGGCGTTTTCTCTGTATCATTCTTAAATAGGTCCATTAAGTAAAAGGGAAACTTTTTAAATAAGCATTCCAGTAATGTCAATAGGTTTTGCCAGTTACTGTGGTAACCCACTTTCTCTAGTCCAATTTTATAAGATGCAGAAATGCCACGTTCTTTAACTGGTGTGAGTTGATGACAACCCCCCCCCCCCACACACACACACAAACAGCTAAAACCACAGTAGTTAAAATATTGTGACGTTTTTAACTGCTGATTTCAATGCTAGTGATAGAGAACAAGTAAAATTTAAGATGGCCTGTATTTAGGCTTCTTTGTTTTTCTAACTATCCAAACTTAGAAGTGTATGCAGAATTTTGGAAAGACATTTAGAAAATTATCTAGACAAGCCTACACTCAGAGGACACAGATACAACACCTTACTTTCACAATCCAGATCGTGGTTGTGACTTACAGTTTTTTCTTGGCTGACCAGGTGTGAAAGTTATTGTAGTTTGGAGTGCTTACATTCCAATAGAGTCTAAGAACATTACATCAATGTTTCTAGAAAAGACCGTTTTCAGTGTCAGTAATTGAAGGAGTAGCTTTATATATATAGGATACATTGTGACGCTGCAGTCACAGGGAGATGTTAAAAGTAATTTTATCAAAATAATACTGCTAATAATAACAATGAATATTTATTGAGCATGGTGCTAAGTACCTTACATATGTTTTATCCTCCACAACAGCTCATCATTAGCCACATTTTACAGATAAGAAAACCCTACCTATCACATTCACTTCCTATCTGCAAACCTATTACACATAATTCAATAAATGTTGGATAAATTAATGAATAAGGCTTAAAAAGGGAAAGTAATTTGTCTGCCATGTTGCACCAAGTTAAGGTGATTCCAGAATGTGAACTTTTAAAACTAGTAAAAAGAGTTGTATCAGTGTCACAAAACGAACAGTATGAGTGATGGAAAGCCCATTGTGTTAACAGAATATGTCTCATCAGAAATAACTACAAAGAAATGTGAGAGTCACCCTGAGTGTTCCTAACCAGAACCTAAACAGCAACTCTGAGAACAGCAACTCTGTAGAAAATGACTAAATTTGACTGACACACCAAACTGCACCTTGAGACTGGGCTTGCAGGACAAGCAACCATACTGTGCAAGCAGGTCCAAAGTGAGATGTTGCTTGCTTAATGAGTGGAATATCAAAACAAATGTGAAAGACCAGGATACAGTAAAAATAAAATAGATGTGTATTTCATGAAAAGACCAGTGCCAAAGAAGATGGGAAAACAAGATCCCCGAGAAAGATTTTAAGGCAGACCCTAGGTCAGAATTCAGTCATATATATTCTCCTCTTATTTATGTTAAAGTAAGGAATTCATTTGGTCTAATCACCTAAGATTATTTAAAAAATAAATCTAAGAACTAATAACGACTGAAACAAAATGTAGGTGTGGAGTTATACTATCTAGTAGATTTTACCAAGGCCTTAAATATTTGCCCTAATTCCTTCTCCCTGAGGTTTCCCCTACAAAACATAGCATTTGCCTTTGATTTTGACAATACAATGGGCATTAATTACTTCATTTAATTTGTTCAGAACATAAGTGGCTTTTTACTTCAAATATTCTTGATTTGGGGGAAAGAAAAATAAACGGATTAAGTCTTCATTGACTTCACTCTTTTATTCTTAACTACAAATGACTCAGCTAAAACTTTCTTGCATTTTTCTTTTCACAACTTTTCAAATAAACTAGGTTTTATTTTATTTTTTTTGCTTCTTAGTCAAAATGTTAATGCCTCGCTCCATTTTTGTAAGTGTAGTGTAATGTGATTACATACAGACTTTAGCAGCTTAATTTTGCCTTCTCCTAATGCAAAATACAGTCTCAAAGATTAGGTGAAAGTGTATTGTCATAAAATACATACTAAAACATAATGCAGTAAATAGTATGATGTCACACTTCAATAGTCTAGATATAAAAGCAAAACTGATCTTTGGAAGCAGCCTTAGATTCTTTTTGGAAGCAGAGTATAAATATTAAATTAATTGGAAACATAACTTGTGAGATATTTGCACCCATATCAAAATGAATCACTTTAAATGATCTTTTTATTTTAAAAATAATCTCGAGTCAATTTATGGCACTAGTTGTTATAGTTTGGTCTTTTCTAATCTTCTCCCTCTAGATTTCACTAAAAAAACTCTCTTGACCAAAATATTCTCTTAAGATTTTATAGTAAAAGAAGTGATTCTAATTGACTTCAGATATGGAATTTACAAATGGTTTCCTAAGTAGAAGCTGGGTGCTCAAAGGATCTGACTTTCAGAGGTTAGGTCAGATAGGGAGGGAGCATTCCACTGGAAGAAAGACCTTCAAGCCTTTGTCCCTTTGTGGCCAAAGTAAGGAGTAAAAAATAGGAATGTTTCTTCTTGAGCTGCAAGCTTAGTATCTCTGACCCCTACGTTGTCCAACCTAGGCTATCTTATAGGGGCCATAATCTTCACTTAGCGTTTTTTCCTGCTAAAATGCTTGCTCTGCATCAGACCTCAGACTTGTCATATAAGACATATTTTAATGTTTTTAGTTACTTAACATTTATACAAAATGTCTTGCAGAGTCGTTTTGGTAATTTTCCCAGTTCACTTAGATTTAGTATTTTTTGCTATAGCTGTCTGTTTGATTTTTAGAATTCTTGCCATTTTAATGAGTAATATTTTATCAAACTATTTTCTCCCTTTTATCTGTTGTCTTTTAATGGGTAGTGAGAAGTGACAACACAGAACAGCTGTGAGGGTAGTCCATTATCTAAACTAGAGGAAAGGATAGGAGCCCCTTTTTTCCACTTATTTTTGCCCAGATCTTTCCTATAATTTCAAAAACTGGTGTTCTATGCTTGCCCAAACTATATCCCTTGATCAGGAAAAATTAGGCATTTCTGGTAAGACTAGTTAGCAAAACACATTATTCCCAAGAACAATATGTAAAACTTGCTCCAGGGAAATCTCAGCAAAATTTCTGAAACAATTTCTTTGCAGTGTAATCCAACTAACAGCTATGAATTAAGTACCAAAGCCTCTGATATACCCAACCACTTGATAGCAATCTGTCTAAGCTTCCAATCATCAGCGACGCAAGTAGAGAGGGGCCTTAACTGTAAATGGGCCTTCAGTGCACTGCTCTGGGCCAAATCTCCCTCTAGATTAACAGGGAGAAGCACCCAGAGAGGATAATTAAATTAGGAGAATCCTTTCTTTGCTGTTCTGCCTCTAGGGTAAACTGTATTAAATTCAGTCATGTCCTTTCTTGACCAATATATACAGCAATACTCCCTGGGTGAAGAGAAATTGGCTTGAGTTGAGGTTATCCCAATAGGGTTTTATAGGGCTCTTTCCAGGGCCCCTCCCTGCTGCATTAATCACAGTCTGATAAAAATCCCAGAGCCCACCAAGATTAGGAAACCTAGTTTTCTTAACACATAAAGTCCTAGCCCACCAGGGAAGTTTTCAGTGCACTTGTCAGCCATAAATGACAGGCATATAAACTCGTTATTCAACAAACATTACTTTGCCACAATGTGCTGCTCAAGTTGTATCCTTTGATCAGAAAAATTAGCTTGATTTTGTGGATTCAAAGATGACCAAGATTTTCATAGACTGGTAGCAGAAACAGAAACGTGTAGTTGATTTAATAGGATAATGTGATAAGTGCAATGATAGATGTGTCCAGTGATATGTGAAGAGAAGTACCTAACAGCTGGGAGGAAGACTATATGGAAAGGATAATGCCTGGTTTAGATTTTAAAGGACGACAGCCAGGCAATAATGCAGAAGCAAGCTTATAGGCAGAAGGACAGTGCAATCAAAGTTATAGAGCACCATGTATAGGTACCTGGATTACTGGCATTAAAAACCAAAGCAAGAGGTGACAGGAGATGAGGTGGGAGGGATAGGCAACCACCAGATTATG